CAGGGGGGCCCCGCCCCCCAGAATCGGGCACCCAGGGGGGTCCCTGCCCCCAGAATCTGGCACCCAGGGGGGTCCCTGCCCCAGAATCTGGCGCCCGGGAAGAGGAAATGCCTGGGGTGGGGGGTTCCTGCCCCCAGAATCTGGCACCCGGGGTGGGGGGTCCCTGCGCCCAGGAAGAGGAAATGCCCGGAGTGGGGGGTCCCTGCCCCCAGAATCTGGCACTCGGGGTGGGGGTCCTTGCCATGATGTCCAGGTAAAGCCCATCTCCTTTCCCAGCTGGAAGACGTCCAGCATCATCTGCCTCTCCGTGCCCCATCCCTATAGAGAACAGGCCCCCCCCCACGCATGTGTTGCCGATCAATGAGGTGCCATCGTCTCATCACCGGGAACATCTCCCTCGCCCTCAATGTAGGCGTGTCCTCGGGATGTAGATCGGCCTCTAGTGATTGGTCGGGTCTCTATTGTCACGTTTCTTTCTCCGGGATCTCTCTCTGCTGATTGGTTGTCGTGTTCCGTATTTCCAGAATGTTCCGTCTTGTGTTCCAGGTGGAGCTAATTAAAGGGACATCTCAGAACATCGGGCTGATCCTGGTGCAGGCCAGAGACGGAGACACGGGACACATCTGCGTGGAGTCAGTCATGCCAAATTCCCCCGCGGCCGGCACCGACCTGAAGAAGGGCGATCGTCTGATTGCCATCGGAGGTAAGGGAAAGATGTTGTCGGTTGTCCTCCACCCCTCTGCGGCCCCCCCCGGGATTGCCCCATTCTAGTCAGACACCCCCATTATGTACGGTGGCTTTGTATATGAATATTCTGTCTTTTTACATCCCGCCAGCAGGGGGAGCTCTCCGCCGTCTTCACAAAATCCTGTTTCCTGTCTCCCCCTGCAGAATAGTGACCACTCCCCCCTGCAGAATAGTGACCCCTCCCCCTGCAGAATAGTGACCCCTCCCCCTGCAGAATAGTGACCCCTCCCCCTGCAGAATAGTGACCCCTCCCCCTGCAGAATAGTGACCCCTCCCCCTGCAGAATAGTGACCCCTCCCCCTGCAGAATAGTGACCCCTCCCCCTGCAGAATAGTGACCCCTCCCCCTGCAGAATAGTGACCCCTCCCCCTGCAGAATAGTGACCCCTCCCCCTGCAGAATAGTGACCCCTCCCCCTGCAGAATAGTGACCCCTCCCCCTGCAGAATAGTGACCCCTCCCCCTGCAGAATAGTGACCCCTCCCCCTGCAGAATAGTGACCCCTCCCCCTGCAGAATAGTGACCCCTCCCCCTGCAGAATAGTGACCCCTCCCCCTGCAGAATAGTGACCCCTCCCCCTGCAGAATAGTGACCCCTCCCCCTGCAGAATAGTGACCCCTCCCCCTGCAGAATAGTGACCCCTCCCCCTGCAGAATAGTGACCCCTCCCCCTGCAGAATAGTGACCCCTCCCCCTGCAGAATAGTGACCCCTCCCCCTGCAGAATAGTGACCCCTCCCCCTGCAGAATAGTGACCCCTCCCCCTGCAGAATAGTGACCCCTCCCCCTGCAGAATAGTGACCCCTCCCCCTGCAGAATAGTGACCCCTCCCCCTGCAGAATAGTGACCCCTCCCCCTGCAGAATAGTGACCCCTCCCCCTGCAGAATAGTGACCCCTCCCCCTGCAGAATAGTGACCCCTCCCCCTGCAGAATAGTGACCCCTCCCCCTGCAGAATAGTGACCCCTCCCCCTGCAGAATAGTGACCCCTCCCCCTGCAGAATAGTGACCCCTCCCCCTGCAGAATAGTGACCCCTCCCCCTGCAGAATAGTGACCCCTCCCCCTGCAGAATAGTGACCCCTCCCCCTGCAGAATAGTGACCCCTCCCCCTGCAGAATAGTGACCCCTCCCCCTGCAGAATAGTGACCCCTCCCCCTGCAGAATAGTGACCCCTCCCCCTGCAGAATAGTGACCCCTCCCCCTGCAGAATAGTGACCCCTCCCCCTGCAGAATAGTGACCCCTCCCCCTGCAGAATAGTGACCCCTCCCCCTGCAGAATAGTGACCCCTCCCCCTGCAGAATAGTGACCCCTCCCCCTGCAGAATAGTGACCCCTCCCCCTGCAGAATAGTGACCCCTCCCCCTGCAGAATAGTGACCCCTCCCCCTGCAGAATAGTGACCCCTCCCCCTGCAGAATAGTGACCCCTCCCCCTGCAGAATAGTGACCCCTCCCCCTGCAGAATAGTGACCCCTCCCCCTGCAGAATAGTGACCCCTCCCCCTGCAGAATAGTGACCCCTCCCCCTGCAGAATAGTGACCCCTCCCCCTGCAGAATAGTGACCCCTCCCCCTGCAGAATAGTGACCCCTCCCCCTGCAGAATAGTGACCACTCCCCCCTGCGAAGTTTGAGTGTGACCCGAGTGACATTGCTGCCGGCTCCTCGTGGGCAGTGACATAGTCGGCAGGCTCGGGGTTGTGTTTGCTGCCTGGAATTGTCTCCCCAATAATCTGCCTGGTCTTGTCTCGCAGGGATGAAGGTGACCTCCTCGGTGCATGCCTTCAAGCTCATCAAGCAAGCCGGGGACAGAGTGCTGCTCTACTACCAGAGGCCGGCGGGTCAGAACCAAGGTGGAGGCGGCCTCCAGGAGCACATGGGAACGTTGGAGGACGCAGCTTTCCCGCAGACCTTTGAGGACGACCCAGCGGGTCTCTTGATGGATCCTGAAAACAAAGAATTGGATTCTGAGTTTGAGGACTTGGCGAGCGAGGTCCGACCTCCCGGGGAGACCAAAGATGACACCTTCCTGCCAGTGACTCGGAGCCCAAAGCGGCTGGTGGGAAACCTTTCCACAAAGTCTCTGGGGTCCATCTCCCCCGTTCTGAGCCGCAAACCCAATTCGGCGAGTAACCAAACGGCGGCAACAAAGACTCCGGCAAAACCGGGGAAAACGGGCCCGCCGGAGAACCAAGAACCCGCCCAACTCAACAGAACCTCTTCCGCATCGGGTGTCAAGCCTCCGGTGCCCCCCAGACCACAAGTAAAGCTGACCTTGACCACCTGCGACACTCTGAATCCTGTGGAGCTCGGCGAGCCCCCCCCTGATAAAGCGGACAAAGCTCCTCCCACCTCGCTGAATGGCGACAAGCCAACCGAAAAATCTGGCAAGCTTCCAGAGGTCGGTGAGGAGCACGCCATTCAGAAACCCAACTCCTCGAAGCCAGAGCCAGCCAAGGACCGGACCTCGGAAGGTTCCACCGGTACCAGGGAGAGCTTAGAAGACCAGTATGTGTGGGAATCTCCGGAGACCTTGTACCGGGGTCGGCAAGGCCGGTGGACAAGGGCCTCTTCCATTTTTGATATCGAGAACCACCACAGATATCTGAACGTGGCCCTTTGGTGCCGAGACACTTTTAAGAGCGGCAGCCTGTGTTGCGTCGGGCACGTCAGCATCAAACTAGAAGACATTTCTCTCGAATGCCTTTCCACCTCCTCTCTGGAGTACCACATGCGGTTCCGGCTCAACGCCCCGGAACCCAAAGCCAACGTCAGCAGAACCGCGTTGAGGAGCTTGACCACGCACAAGGGCTTCAATGAGAAGCTCTGCTACGGGGACGTCACGTTGAACTTCAAGTACCTGACGGAAGGCGAGTCTGAGAACTCCAGCCTTCTTCTAGAGAAGGACGCCATTTACACCGAAGACGCGACCACGCTCCCAAAAGACGACTTCCCCCCCACCGCCGCCGCCATGACTTTTTCTGAATCCAAACATAATTTCCAAGACACTCAGTTCCAGAACTCCACCTTGTGTGATCACTGTAAGAGGAAGGTGTGGACCAAAGCGGCGTCGCAGTGCATGACCTGCGGCTACGTCTGCCATAAGAAATGCCAGGAGAAGTGCCTGGCCGAGAACCCGTTCTGCGTGTCTCTGGAGAGGAGACCCGACCTGGAGTCCAAGTCTGTAGGAAACCGAACTGCCGGCATCACCAGACACATCATCAACACCACCACCCGCGTCTGGAACCTGAGACCGGCACCCCGGACGCGGCAGCCGGAACCAGGCTCCGACCCGGTAGAGCCTTCCCCGAAGCAGACCCCAAACACTTCGGACAACGAGAGCAGCGACACCGAGACCGGCGGCGCCAACAGCCCCTCCAAGCGCTCCAGCGGCGGCTCCTCCAAATTAGTCCGCCGAGAGGGGGGATTGGACGACAGCGTCTTCATCGCCGTCAAGGAGATAGGCCGCGATCTCTACCGAGGTTTGCCGACCGACGAGAGGATACAGAAGTTGGAGTTCATGTTGGATAAGCTTCAGAACGAGATCGACCTGGAACTGGAACACAACAATTCTCTGGTGAAGGAAGAGCGAGAGTCCGCGGAGGCCAGGAGGAAAGCCCTCTTGTCGGCGGCGCTGTCCAAGTCCGGGGAGAGGCTGCAGGCCCTCACGCTGCTCATGATCCATTACCGGGCCGGCATTGAGGACATCGAGTCTCTGGAGAACTCGTCTTTGGCTCAGCCCAGGAAAACGGCCAAGTATGAAGAAGAATCGGCGGCGGTGTCCGAAGCCGCCGGCAACGAGGAGGACGATGACGATGATGCGCCGCTGGAGATGAAGGCAAATCCGAGTGACCCCGCCGAGGATAACCCGCCGGAGGCCCCGGAGGCGGAGTAGATCAGAACTTGGCCCGTAACCTTCTCACCGCTCATGCACTGTAAAACCCTAGAGGAAGAATGAGTCTGCACCGTGACCTGCGTCTTGTACCCCATATTGAAGCCGGGCTTTGCGGCCTCCAGCGCCTCGGTGACGGTTCGGCCTCCAGCGCCTCGGTGACGGTTCGGCCTCCAGCGCCTCGGTGACGGTTCGGCCTCCAGCGCCTCGGTGACGAGCTCTGGGGGTCCATTATAGCGGCACCGTCATTGGCTGCGTGTGTGCCGAGAGTCCTGCAAACCTGTCCAGCGAGGCCGTAAAGAGAGCGCGGTGTCTGCACGAGAGACGTCCATGTCATGTGACCGCAGGCAAATGGCTTCTGATTGGTCGCTCGGCATAAGACAATGCTTGTGATGTCACCGTGTCTCCCCGGGCCGCGCTCTCACCTACATTGGAGTGCTTTGGTCACGCGGAGGTGGGAGGGGGAGCAAGTTACCCCAAAACACTGGTGTGGAACGACCAATCACTCCATCGTAGACAATGAATTATCGCCCCCAGCCTGTCCTTAAAGGGCCACATGGGGAGGAGCTAACCCGAGGGACATCTAGAAAGCCCAACTCCAGACAAAACTGCAGTGTCAGCGTTTTATTCCTAGCGGTGTCCCCCTTGCAGGAGACTTGATGGGGGGCACAGGGAGCAATAAAAGCGCATTTCTCCTAGAGCAGGATGTCCCAACTCCGCCCCCTCCAGCTGTGGGGTGAAACTACAAATCCCATGAGGCATTGCAAGATTCTCACAGCCACAGACATCCCCGGAGAGAGATGCGTCATGGGGTTTGTAGTTTCACCCACAGCTGGAGGGGGGGCGGAGTTTGGACATCCCTGTCATAGAGTGAAGAAGGGTTTGCGTGGCGTCTCCGTGAGTGAGAGAGATTCCTCCATACTTCCTGTCTTGGTGACACCTTTTGTCTTAGAGAACAGAAATCTCTTGTATGGGGACACAGAAGCTCTATCCCCTCCTCACTCCACCCAAAGCAACAACAACAAACAAAGTCTGGCCTGGAGTTGAGCTTCAAGTCTTCTTAGGGACCAGCCGGAGACCCCTGACCATGGCAGTGATTGGTTTAGTATTTGTGCGTTGCGGGTGTCCCCGGTTTATTATTCCCGCCGTGTAAGTGTCCCGTGTCAGATCTTCTTCCTGGTGACCGGCGACTCCCCAATCCTAAAGTGGAGTGAATGGGACGGGTAACGGAAGAGGGCGCAGGAAGCAGAAGTGCGTCTGTTGTCTCTGTTAATGGGGAACCTCAGGGGAGGGGGAACCTCAGGGGAGGGGCATGACGGTGATCCCGCCTCCAGGTTGGTTCTTATGCTACAAGCCGTGTTCCTTCAAGAGCATCCCACAGTGAACACACATTGCACCCCTCAGGCCTGACGTGTCTGTTCTCCTAGACCAGGGATGTCCAAACT